GCTTCTGATGCACTTTCAGCCACTTCCTCTCAACATCCCTTTCAATCTGCAGCCCCAAGTAATGGTGGACATCCCGCAATATCTAGCATTTGAAGTTGTCCATGAGCAGCCTCTAAGTCCTTTCAATCTTCTCCATGGAAGGTGTAAACAGCAGTATGTCATCGACATATATCAGGTTCAAGAGCCGTTGCCCCCCCTCTCCAAGCAGGAACAAGCTGTGGTCAGCTTGGGATGTCTTAAAGTCTCCATCCAGCAGCACTTTCTCCAGCTTCTCGTACCAGCGCCTGGGTGCTTCATTAAGGCTATAGATAGCCTTCTTAAGCTTGCACACCTGGCTGGTCCCATCCTCATAGTCGTCGGGCTGCTTCATGTAGATATCATCCAATAGTATTCCATTGAAGATTGCAGTGGTGATATCCATCTGCTTCACATGCCATCCCTTCACAGCTACATTAGCAAGCAAAGTCCTCAATGTTGCTGCCTTAACAACGGGAGCTAAGATCTCCTTAAAGTCGACCTTCTCTTTCTGCTGAAACCCTTTGGCAACCAAGTGGCTCTTGAACCGTTTCAGTGCACCATCAGCATCCGTCTTCACTTTGAAGACCCACTTGCTACTGATGGGCCGTCGCCCCTCGGGTAGTTCAACAAGCTCCCAAGTCCCATTCTCAACGAGACTGTTGAACTCCGGATCCATGGCAGCCTTCCACTCTTCCTTCTGAGGTCTATTATGTGCCTCCTCCAACGAGGCTGGTTCTCCAGGCAAGGGTGTGAAGAAGCAAAAGCCATCTCTTCATCATCTCCCTCATCAGCCTGAACCGCCATGGCACCCTGCTTGGGTCCTCCGAAGCGGCTGTACTTCAGCCTTGAAGGTGGTGCTGCCACTCTCTTCTCGCGGGTGGTAGTCTGCTGCCTTTGTGGTGAAGCTATTTTCAGCACGCTCCCCCTCGTGACCTTGGTTGGTGCAACAGGCTCATGCTGAGATGGTGAGTCTTCACGCACTGACTCATCCTCCAACCCCTCCTCTGCAGCAGGACCAGCAATTTGCTGATCACCACAACCACTGTGATCACTGGTCAGCTCTACCCCAGGAGATCATTGAGGTGCATTTGAACCTCCTCCACTGCAAAACGCTCAATCTCCTGCAGACGCATGCCAATCTGCACTTGCTGTTGCTGCTGCCAGTCCTTGTACCTGACGTCCTCCACAAATGTGACGTCACGACTGACCAGCGTTTTCTTGCCTTTGGGGTCCCACATCAGCCACCCCTTCGAGTCAGGGGCCATCCAAAAATGGACAGCCCATACAGCAGCCACTTCAAGCTTGTGCCACTGACCCTTAGGCATCATCACGAGCCAGACACAGCTCCATACACGCAGCATGTCAATGGTTTGCTTCTTGCCAAGCCAACGCTCATACATCACCCAATGTTTCTCGCCAAAATGCGTCAAGACTCTGTTATTGATCGTAATGACATGGCGGACAGCATCAGGCCAAAACTTGTAGGGCATCCCAGCACCCACCAACAAGGACTTGGCCGCCTCACCAATGGTCCGGTTGGCACGCTCGGCAATGCCGTTTTGCTGCGGTGTTTCAGGGCAGGTCAGCTGGTGCCGAATGCTTTTCCGTTTGAGAAACTTGGTGAAATTAGTTCCAAGGAACTCACCACCACGGTCACTCCTCAGCACCTTCACCAGTCTCGTGCACCTTCACCTTTACCATCGGCTCCAATCCTCTTTGATTGCTGTAGTGGCGTCACTCTTTTTGGACAAGGGACGAGCCCATGTGAATCGGCTCCATTTGTTCACCATAGTGAGGAAGTACAATGCTCCCCCAGTCCCTTCAGTCCACGTAGGACCCATGAGGTCCATGTGCACCACTTCCAATGGTGCTCTTGCCGATCCCTCCTCATGCGGGAATGGGAATCGCACGAACTGCATGCATGCTTCGCAGCCGCCAATGGCTCAACGGTGCAAAGCTTTTAAAGCAAGGAGTATACACAGAATCTATTTGAATACGACAAACGTGCAGTTCAAACGTAAGCGTCGATTGACACAATGGTTGCAGTATCTGCATAACATGTTCAAGCGAGAGCCCGAAGACTCGGACATCCTGCAAGGTGTGTTGGGACTGGTGTGAAGAAATTTATATACCTCCTTCGTTTTCATTGCCTCCAGTTGTATGCGAGCTTTTCAAAAACCTGTTAACTTACAACAATTTGTGATTCCCTTTCCTATTCGCACTCCAACCACAGGTATCAACTGGGCCCGAGCGCAGAGGGAGCCCACTAGCTTTTTGATAATCATGTCCACACACCAAGAGGATGTCTGATTCGCTGACAGACTAAAGCACTTGCTCTCCTTTCCCGGCTGGACAATGAGCTAGCCGAACCTTGTTAATCTGTGAATTGCATTTGCTGTACTCCCTCTGAGCACAGTGGAGTGCGAGCGTAGCTTCTCGCACTAGAACGTGATCAAGAGCTGGCATCGCAGGAATCCGTGCGTTGCCAAGCTCAGCGAGCTGATGACCATCTCTCTCTTGAGCTATGATTTGGAGTGGTCAGAGTTAGTGTCGAGGTGGCATGCCTCCAAGAAGAGGAGGCCTGCAAAGGATGTGCTGATGGCGGCATGGGAGAGATAGATAAAGGAGCTGCATTAGCAGCATCAGCAGCAGTAGTGACAACAGCAGAAGGCACAGCTCGAGAAACAGCAGCAAGAGCAGAAGCTGTCAGATTGGACGCTGAGTTTGGCCCGTGGCTTCATCGTATCGAGAAAGGAAATGCTACTGTATCATTGTGAAATGGCAGAGGCAGCAGTGACGAAGAGAATGGTAGTGAATTTTGTTGACTGGTATTTGGCACTTAGAGGCTCTAAACACACCTTTAATCCACACTAGGTAGTCCCCACGGGGTCACCTTCAAGGGTCCCTCGTAGAACCAACCCCTATCCAAGGGTCCGTGTTTGTAGAGGGACTTCTCTAAGTGTGAAAATAATCATGTGTACTAGAGCGTTTCCAAACTTCGTTGCGCATCATTCGACGACGGATTGGCTCGTGTGCAGAATAGCTCTTCACGTCAATACGTTGATAGAGCAGGATAACTCGCCAAAGAGATTCAGAAATGATTTCAACAAAATATGGTTAATGGCAATCAGCACAAGCACACTTTTATATTTTGCCTAACACACAAGCAAAGGAATTTAGCAAAGCAGTTGTTCAACTGCATTCTAGAATTTCGCCTTGCTCTCTTGGAAAACGGTTGCTCAACTCTTTGAGCAATTGTCTTGTTCCTCCTCTTGAAAATCCCTTTATTCAATATGAACTTAAGACAAATGCCCCTGCTGAATCCTCCCATGAACACTCATGACCTCCCATATGACTCCAATGTAGCATTCATGAATTCATGCGTGCAAACAGTTGTAAAACGGTTTTTACCGTTGAGAAACCGGAATTACCGTTTTGTACCTGCCTCGAAATGATAACTTAAAGCAGAGTGACTTTCGTGCGCAATTACCTGTTCGCCACGTCAGAATAGGCGAGACTCGACATTCAGTTATTTAACTGAAATCTTGAGTCAATGCCGAGCACCCCTCGGGATCCCTCGGCACCCCCCGAAAAACACGCGCACCCCTCATGTGCGCAATTATATACGACCAGGCAAAGGGTCGTGATGTACAGTGCACGGACGTGCGCAATACTGCGCATGGGCAGGGCGATTCGCCCTGTCCTGTTGCGATCGTGGGTCCTGCTACGCGTGCAACAGTGCACGAGCACACGCTCGAGCCCTTTAGGGCTACATGCGCGTGTCAGGACCCCACGCGTGGGTCCTAACTTTCGCGCGCTTACCTTTGACCAGCGCGAAAGTCAACTGGTCCTCCCAGTCAAACTATCGAGCCCCCCATTCTCCCGGGTAAACCGCTCGCTCGCATGAGGCCTCAATGAGCCTCCCACGAAACATTGGAGGCTCATGAGACTTTCATAGGAGTCTCATTTGAGCCTCATGAGAGCTTCATTAGAGCCATGCAAACAAAACAGAAAAATGACAAACACAATATGCAACAACAAATGAAAAGCAGAATGTAGAATTCCACCACTATAACAGCTTGATAGAGCTTGAAAGCACAATTCCAACGCACCAAAGATTGCAGGAAACGGTCCACTATGGCCAGAGAGACACACAAACATAGCAGTGATAAAAGACTTAGTTGATTTCTGGTTTGTGCTCTCTGGTTTTATACTAGGACGCAATACAAAGTAAAAGCACACAAGAAAGTGTCGACCCGGGTCGCACGTTGAATTTCGTCGACGCGAAATTCGGAGCCTTGAATTTCGCCGAGCGAATTCCGTTGACTGGAATTCCGTAGACGAGAATTTCCGCGACCAGACTTCCGTCGACCACCGACTGTAACTCCCGTGCGAATTCCGTTGACTTCGACACTTCGCTGCCGAGTTTCAAACCGAACGCGACCCGAGATCGATTTCGCCAAACTGTCCCCAATCTGTCCCCAAACTGTCCCCAATCTGTCCTGACAAGACACTTTTGGGACACTTGAATCGAAAGGTCTCCAGTTCGAAACTCGCGTGCACCATAACCAGCACCTTAGCAGAAACTGTCCTGAGACACTTTCAGGACAGATTTGAAGGTCACGAGTTTGAATCTCAGCGCAGGCATTTTGTTGCTCATCTCAGCATTTCCTTCTAACACAGAACACACAAAATGAAAGGACGAATGCCCACAGAACACACACAAAATGCAAAATGAAATGCATCTCACACACAACGAATGACCTTTAAACAAAACAGCCCATCTTCCTTCAACGTCGGCGAATAGGCGATAGGTTGTCGTGCAAACTATGTACTGCACTCAACAAATACCCCCTCAACCTACCGACAATTCGAACCCACCCCCAACGTCACTCCCTTCACTGAGTCCGTCATTGGCATAGGAAGGTTGGCATCAGTGAACAACTGCTCCCCCTTCTTGATTAACTCTTTGCTTTCGCCTTTCAGCAGTGCCGCCGCCTTACTAATCCCAACTCCAGTTTTAGGGAAGGCACTCGTCTCCTCCCCAACAATCTCAGCTTCACATTGAGTTCACCAATCACCTTAACCCCACGGGCAGCAATGCTGCCCACATTCAGCCCCAACGCCTTCTCCTTAGCAGCTGCATTCTTCATCTGCACCTTGACATGAAATTCCTGCTGCTCATGAGTGTCACACTTGTGCACTCCGTTCTCCTTGTCCTTAGCAGCAACAATTTGCCCCCCCCTGGGCTCTGCACCATTCTTTTCCTCCGCACGAGAAGCACTTCCCTTTTCAGCTGCTGCAAGTCGAGCGTTAACCTGGTTCAACTGCTGCACTAGCATCTCCACGACAGCTTTCAGCTCCTTGATCGTTTCAGTAGCCACGGCAGCACACTCCCCCTTGCAGCTGCATACACCATTCTTCTTTTTAGGTACCACCTGCTTCAAGAGCACCACGAGCACATGCCACAGTTTGTCATGCAGGTCGTTGTTCTCATGCAAGTCCCATAATACTCTATCACCAAGCTTTCCTGTGAACGTCTCAGCTCCATTGGTTGCCGTGCACATACCTGCAATTCCCATCTGCCTCAGAGTAATGAGGTTCCCTTTCAGCTCCGGCACCAAGAGCACTTCTTCCATGAAGATCAGCTTCCCGTCAGCTCCCTTGAAGGCTGCCTTGCCGACCCCCGTCACTTTCATCTTGTACCCCCATCACTTTCATCTTTCATCTTAGTGATGCTCGTATTCCCAATCTCACCCAGAAGGTCTGCCCTTGGGGTCATGTTGTGTGATACTCCGGAGTATAGGACCCATGCGTTGAGAGGAGGAGGCTCTGCTCCCTTCTTAGCAGATGCTTTCTTGTTCCCCCCATTCCTTTGCACGTGGAAAAACCGCCATGGAGCACGCTCATAATTGTTTCCCCCTTCCATTGCGGTCTCTGCTACATAAACAACCCCCTGCTGTTGGTTCTCCACTTCATCAGTGTCCTCACATCCGGGAGTCCACCACTTGGGCCGCTTCCAAATTTCGCCCAAGAGTGTCCCGGCTTCTTGCAATACCAACAGGTCCCCTTTAACCTAGGATGGCCACCACGATTATCTTCTTCTTCTTCATCCCTCTTGATGTTCTGCTTCTAATCGCCTCGTCCGCTTCCATATTATCCACGCTCACCACGTCCCCGGCCATTTCCCTTGCACCACCCGCTGCTCTATACTCCATATGCGCCATCACCGTCATGGTTGTGACTCAGCTGCCTCCTCCTGAACTCCTCCTATAGGATCTTGGTTCGAACCCTCTCAATGGTCCACAGATTCAGGTTTTGGGGAAGGCTTAAGCCACTTGTGAAGATCATCCATGACTTCGGCAGCAGTGACAACATCTTCAAACATTTCGTCTGCTCCGGGTAGGTGATGCCCGCGATCTGGAACTTCGCATACAACTCCGACTTTTTGTCGAGGACGGGTTGAATCGGTGTTGGGTGCAAATTCACTTTGCACGGCATCCTGCCGTCTGTTCGTACGAGTACGAGTATGCGAATGCATTTGCGTGTGAATGGTGTGTTCGTGTGTTTGTTTGCTTTCGCAATTTTCGCTTGATGCATTTGCAGGTACTCGCGCAATGTGCGCTTCGGCACAACATTGTACGCGCTATGAACAGTGCAAGCAGAATGGACGAGCTCGCAAAGGAACCCAAGATGGAAGCTTTGCGCTTCGGTTTATTTGAATGCGCAGATTCAGTTTTATCCAACTCAGAATTGTACTGTTTTATTTGGTTAACTATAGTGTGCTGAGGCAGGCACTATAGGGGTACAATTTGGTGAAGGTTGGATGTTGTTTGTCTGCATCTGCATGCTACAGGGCCAGGGGAAACCAGCGGAACCAGCTTTTGTCTGGTTGCACTAGGACGAAATAGGTTCTGTTTTCAGAACCTGAACCTGGTTGGTGTTATCCCAGGTTGGAAAAACAGAACCAGAGGTTGTTTACCAACCTCCCACCTTCTGTTTTGTCAAACCAGGGTGGTTCTGTTGCTTGAAATTCTTTGGGATCATCCCTGGTTGTTCCCAGGTTGATTCCCAAGGTCACTGCTAGCTCTAGTTATTTATTCCTTCTCTGTTTGTACCTGCATGTAGTCAAAATTGATTCAAGCGAATTCCTTCCTTGCTGGAATTTCGTTTCTACACGGTTTGACAGCGGAATGCTACCGAGTCAACGCTTGTACACTAGCACTGCGACGCTATGCAAACACTGTCCGGGCCATAACTCTGCAATGGCAGACCGTTTCGCGAGGCAACTTGGCTTATTTTGAAGCTATGGGAGTGAGCTTCGATATAGGAAAGTCTCAGCTTAATCCGATCGACGGGTTGCACGATACGGTGCGCGACGTTCAAGGTACTCTTGCTATTTTGGCTAAGTCATTCTTGACTTCTCTCTCTACAAGCTCGGACCCGAGGATAGGTGCTGGTCTTGTACCAGGCACCCAAGGACTCTTGGAGGTGATACCGAGGTTTGATTAAGTCTTAAGCCTGAGTTTATTAGGCCCTGACACCAACAATCGGCTCCCCCTTACTCAAGCGCAATGCCGCTAGTTCACGCTCAAGCATGAGCGTTGCAACCACCGAGGTTGGCGCGTGCAACTCATTTAGCACCGCCCAAGCCTGTGGTCCATTATCCGCTTCTCCGAGCAGATGCATCACATGTGCCCTCTGGTTGAGTTCCAACGACTGCGATAGGAGGTAATATCCGGCTGACGCACGATCGTCCCACTCCCCTTGCAAAACCGGGTTGCTTGGCCTCTTCTCCTCTCTCGTCATCAGCTGCAACAAACCGATTGGCCTGAAGTACAGCTGCACTTTCCACGCCCAATCGTCGTACCCATTGCCGTTGAACTTATCGACTACGAATTTTCTTAAGCACCTATTTCAATAGCGATCCCTGGCTGGTCCGCAATCCTCTTGACGCTGTACCACCAGTATCTTGGACTCTGCTATTCGTACGTGCAATAGACCCTCCATAGTCGCCTGACGCCATGTTGTTCTAACGACAACTCTTAGAACCACAGCTATGATACCACGTGTTGATTGGTATCAGAGCTGCGTTATTGCGATCCTCGTTATAGGTAGCTATGGCGGGAAAGGATTCGGCGGGAGCTAATGAATCTTCAGCCCAAGATCGTAGCGGCAGCCAAGATTCTGGTGTTTCGGCGCCAAGGGGAGCGCGAACAAACCAGGGCTCGCTGATCAAGGAGGTGCTGAAAAACTTCACCGTCGAGAAGTTCAATGGTGAGGGCTATGATGATTGGGCCTGGAAAATGCAACTATATTTCCGTCATATTGGATTGTTGAAATTAATGATTGGGAAGGAGCCCGGACCGAGTGACCCCGCGCTCCAGGAAGATTGGGACGAGCACGCCTCGCCTGGCTACTACTTGATGTCACAGAGTTTGGAGCTGAACCAGCATCACCACGTCATGCACATGCTGCCGGAAGTTGAGTGCTGTCCGAAGGCATGGAGAGGGAGCTGTCCGCGTTGCGCCTGAGCGAGGGAGAGCCGGTGCAACCTGTTCTGGACAAGATGCGTGATCTATACGCGAAGTTGACGACCGCGGGAATCACCTACTCGGAGCAGACCAAGTGCTTGAAGATGCTCTTGCTACTGCCAAAATCGTGGCTTCAATACCACGAGTGGATTGAGCCTGCCGTAGAACCAGTGCTTGTGGACGCTCGAGTGGGTGCGGACGAAGATTTTGGAGGAGGAATTCCGTCGCCGCCAACTGAGGGCAGCAGCGGCTACGGCATGCAAAGAGGCAAACGTGGTAGAGGACGTGGCTTCCGTGGTGCTGGTCGCGGTGCAAAGAAGTACGACGACTCTAACGACCAACAAGGAGGTACCGGTTGGGGTCGCGGTGGGAAATCTGGACGTGGGGGCAGATCGGGTGCTGGTGGCAAAAGAATAGGGAGCTGTTGGTATTGTGGGAAGGAGGGGCATCCCTGGTTCTTGTGTTATAAAAAAACCCGAAGGATGGACCCTCCAGAATCACCATCAGAATCGCGGCGCGCGGAGCAACTAGAAAAGCAATGCGAACATGGCCGCAGATTCGTCCGACGGCAACCCGAAAGGCAAAGGTGGCGCTGAGAAGAAAAAGGAGCGCACCGCGGGCCAATTCTTCCATGTTGGAGGCAAGGAGGAGCAAGGAGACAGTTCTGCCAAGGTTGGAGCAGAGCTGCACCCCCTGGACTTTTGGGTGTTGGACACGGGCGTACGTGCGTAAGGACCTGCTAGACGACCTACGCGCTGCACCAATCTCTGAGGTTTGCTCTGCCTCTGAACACGCGGTGAAGGTGGCTGGTGCGGGACGAGCCACATTCAAGGGAGCGGATGGCAAGCCCGTGGTGCTGCACGACGTTTTGCTCGTTCCCGACCTCAGGGCCAAGGTCATCTCCCTCCGTAAGCTTGCCAAGGCTGGGGTGAGCACTAGCACGGATGGGGCAAGCACTTGCAAGGGGCAGCTGGGTAATCGGGTTCTTTGGGATCTGCACGAGAGCAAGGATGTGTACAGATCCATGTGGCAGCTGCCGGCATTCGCGTGGCATGGTGGGGAGCAGGCTCGAGAGGGGTCTGCATCCCAGGGGGAGTGCAACGCCGTTGGAGCGGTTGGTGTGAAAGTGTCGGCCAGATCTGGGGAGAGGATTGGGCAACGGCACACCGACGCTTGGGGCATGAAGCAATGCCTTTGTTGAAGTAGCTACAGAAGTATGGAGCCGTTAAGGGCTTGAAGCTGAATGGACAGCCACCTGATGAGAACTGTGAAATCTGCTTGCTCTGAAAGTTTACCCGTTTCCCCTTCCATAGTGTGGCTGGCAGGAGCAAGAAGCCTTTGGAGCTGGTCCATATGGACTTGGTGGGGCCGCTGCCGGTGCAAGGGCACAAGAGGGAGCGGTTTCTTGACTATTGTAGATGATTGGAGCAGGCTGATGTGGGCATATCTGCCAAAGCAGAAGGACCACGTCGCCTCTACGATACGGGAAGATTGGCTGCCGTTCGTGGACAAGCAAGTGGAGTGTGTGGTGAAGCGGATTAGGACAAACCGGGGTGGTGAGTTCCTTGGAGCTGAGATGACGACCTGGGTTAAGAAGCAGGGCATTCAAAGGGAGCTGACCACGGCTTACACTCCACAGTCTAACGGTATAGCAGAACAGGCAAACCGGACCATTCTAGAGACAGCTAGGGCGCTGCTCATAGAATCTGGGTTGGGCAACTCCATGTGGCCCCATGCTGTCCGGCACGCTACCGTGGCTAGGAACGGGGTTCTCACCAAGGTTGGGGATGACTCATGGGTGCCGTTGGAGAGGTGGCTTGGGAGGAAGCCGCCGGTGGACATGTTGCGGGTGTTCGGTTGCATGGCAGTCGCCCACGTCCCCAAAGTCCACCAAAGTAAGTTGGAGGCAAGTGCAATATGGTGTGTGCATTTGGGGCTGGCTGCTGAGAGCAAGGGATGGCTGCTGTGGGAACCATCCAAGGGTGTCATGTTTGACAGCAGGGATGTGAAATTCATCAAGGGCATGATGAATGGGAGTTGGGAGAAACAGCCGGAGGCTAAGGTGTCCCAGCAGATGGAGCAGATCACCATGCAGCTGGACCTTACTCCTAGTGTGTGGGAGGAGGGAGAGGAGGCAGCTGCAGAGGGTGGTGATGGAGAGAAGGTACAGGAGGCACCTGGTGGTGGAGGAGATGGTGTGGAGACTAGCGGTAGCACTAGTGGAGCTGCTGGATATGAGGGAGGAGAGCAGCAGCAGGGCAAAGCTAAGGCTCCTACACTACCATCAAGGAGGAAGCTGAAGGGTGCAATTGTAAAGGGATGGGAAATACTCGTCACCAGGCCAGGACGTACTCGTATGGCACTAGGAAGCTGACTGCAAGAGCTGATGTAGCAG